CCGCACATGTGCGTCCACAGAGAGAAGAAGAAGAAAAAAAAACACAGGCAGAGGTCAGGTTTCTATCCCATGATGCAACTCTCTCTCTCTCTCTCCCCTCCTTGTTCTCCATGCTGGTTGCCCATAGCAACACACTTATAATGAGGTCAGATGGACATCCAATAATATTCACCAGCCACACTACCAAGCAGTAGCGGCAGTGAGAGAGGCACTTTGGGACAGACAGCAGTCAAAGTGTCAGAGGCAAGATGGCCGCCACACAAATGTAATAAATCATCAAGTTCCTCAAAGTAAAAGTGAAACTGATCCGGAGACAGTTTGATGTGGTTTTCACGTCGATCGGGACTTAAACTCTCTGAAAATGGAAAAAAAAGTTTGGATGAGAAGTTGCTGTGTTTACAAAATATGAACAAAAACGTCAGAATACCTGAAGAAGAAAGGCAGCGCTCGCTGTAAAAGGCAACTAAAGTCAAAAGTGATGTGAAAATGATTCATTTAAAAAATATTTGATTTGATTTTCCCTACAACGATACTGAGCTGCAGTTATTCCACTCACAAAAACTTGCTTTTAGTTATCAAAGATAAAAAGATAAATCAAACGATCAACTGTCAGTAAATTTAAAGTCGACTAATTTTTAGTAATATTTTTAATTAGAGTAGCTTTGCATGGCCTACAAAAATAATCCTTATTTATCTTCTCAGTTCATCTATTTTGTTATATGAAACAAGCTGTTGCAGAACTTCCCCTTTCAGCCAAATCTCTTATGAATGGTTGCTATTTACAAACAGAGAGTTCTCCAATACTGGTCACAGTTAGCTGATCTATTCAGTTCAGTTCTGGTTTATTTTGTGATATCTGCACAATTGCAAAGTACTTTTCTAGTCTTACTGACCAAACGAGGTGCTCTACATCACACGCTGCATTTAACCACACATTTCTGCTTCCTGGGCTTTCTGTGTGGAGTTTGCATGTTCTCCCCGTGCTTGTGTGGGTATTTTGGCTTCCTCCCACAGTCCAAGGACATGCACGGGTTAGGTTAGTTGCTCATTCTAAGGTGGCCATGAATGTGATGTAGATAAAGTGCTGGAAGTGTACAGAATAACACGTGGCATGAATGTGTGGTTAAAATGTGACTAAATGTGACTATATAAATGCAAATACATCTACTTTGGAGAATATCCAGGCAGATACAGGGAAAACATGCAAACGCTGCACAGAAACCACTGCAACGCTGTGCTATCCCAGAGAAGATCAAAGTCATGTATCGCCATTACACATGAAAAATTCATACTGGCGGATTCTGTCATGAATCGCTGTGTGCAGGCAAGAGATGCAGGACTCGCAGCACGGGAATCAACTCAAAAAGGCAGTTTATTGTAGACTCAGGAAAATGATACAACTAATGATGAACTAAACTAGAGTGGGGAAATATAACCTAAAGTTCACACAAAGGATCACACAGCATGAGGGACGATTCGACACGGAACAGAGGGGACGCTGACATAAATACACAGAAGGTAACGAGGGCAGGGGAAGCACAGCTGAGGACAATTACTCATGACAGAGTGGGGAGGACACGAAACTGAAAA